AAGAACAGTGGGCGCGACCAGCACGGCAGTGGCAGGAGATTGACCATCATCACATTCCAAATCTGAATCTGGCTCCAAGCAGCAGGCCGTTGGCGCCTGATCATCGCAATCCAAACAAATCGTGGAGTCTGGGTCCGCATGGCACGTGTCGTCTTGCATGTCCAACAAAGCCTCAGTGCCCACAGAAGCTCTGCTGGAATGTGATCTTGAATGCAAGGAGGTTGGCGGCACACTGAACAAGTCGCAGGTCGCATGAGAGGCTGACTGATGACTGTGAAATTCCACCGATTCTGGAGGGGAAGACTTGCAGCAGATGGTGCAGGTAGGATCTGCGCAGTACCTATCATCTTCCACTTCCAGCAATCCCTGCCCTTGCATGGAGCAAGCATCTGAGCAAACAGGAGCACAAAACTGCGTCAAGCAAAAAGGCCGACTGCAAGCAGCCGGATTACAAGGCAAGTAGTGACCAACGGCCTGCGAAGATTCTTGTGTAAACAACATGACATGGGTATCGGTAAATTGCCGGGCCCACCTGATGGCAGCATCACAAGGTAAGAATTTTGCGGGGCGCCGCGGCAAGAACAAGAATGCACCTCCAGCCGGATCATGCATGATCAAAAGTCCAGAAGCATAATGCTCTGCAAGAGCCGTGACTGCAGTGCTAATCTGGGCGGTGGAAGTGACTGGAGACAGCAAAGAGTCACAAGCTTCAAAGTCCAAGCCCTCGACGCAACAAGCATAATCCACCACCTGGAACATGGACTGCAGCACTGTTAAATCAGTGAGCTTGGCGCTTGCAACCCACCAACAGTGGGTTGACGCAAAAGTCTCAACAGGATGAAGGGAAAGCTCGGACAAAAAGTGCTTTGTTTGGAACTTCATTTTGGAAACATTCAAAGGGTCATTCGGAGACAAAACGCAACTGGAACTAGGGACACACGGCGCGGGCACGGGCACGGGCGTCGAGCAAGTGCGCGGCATGCACACAGGCTTCAAGGAAGTCAAAGACCAACCCTGCTTGCGCTTGCAGCGTTTGAAAATTGAACGAGTCGCCGGAGAGTCCAAGTCCAAGACTACGAGGCTTGTTTTACATTGGAAGTCGGTCGAAGCAGCCAAGCGAACGAACTGTGCCTCAATGGCGCCACAGTCTGCACAAACCATCGAATATCCATCTAGAACACGCAGCTCAGAATCTGCCAGGAAGATTTCGCCGCGCTTTGCAAAAGAGGACGACTGATAAGAACTTGCATGGTCGAACAAAATTGCATTTTCACGTACGCAGACCAGCGAAGGTCGGGCTGGCAAGTAGGCAGGACCAAGCCATAATGGCGAAGACAACCTCAGTTGCAATCGGAGAAGCATTGAGTTTTAGCTATAAGTTCTGAGTCGGTGACAAGGAAACAGATGGCATTGCAAGGAACCTCGGCAGGGTTGCAATGTCAAAAGCGATCGCGCCTATTTGAAAGGGTAAGGCTGGCACAGAAAGAGAAGCAAAGACCTGGGCAGTACAGGGGGCACTTCCCAACACCGATTCGAATCCAGTAGTTAGGTTCCGGCCTGTCGCCAATCTCGAGGTGGGCACTAACCGAAAGCACTGTAGAGCCAGCACGCGAGGAATGGCTAAAACAGTTTCAAAGCCAGTTTCAAAGAGTTTCGTTCCTCAGGCGTTTGAAGTTCTTGCTGGGGCCATAACTACTTAACGTTAAATCTACACATGTTTGGAAGCTCGTCTGTGCCCAGATTAAACAGAAGGATACCTTGGTGTTGGTGGCTTCTGAGCTCCTGGTGGCCCATAGCATCGGCCCTTGTGGGGTTTTGGCCTGCGGTTGGATTGTTAGGTTCAGTGGCGTTAGGTTATGTGCAAAATGGCAAGAGTCTAGTGGCCCATAGTTTTGGGTTTTGGCGCACCTTCGGGCGCCGTGGCAAGACTCCTAGCGGGGTGGTCAGAGTGATAGAGGTATGGGTAG